GGCTGCAGAAGACATGATTTCATTCTTCGGTGTAACTGTGTAGTATTCCGTGGTGTATATTTACCACGTATGCTTTATCCAATGCACTGTTGATGGGCACCTGGGCTGATTCCACATCTCCACTATTGTAAATAGTGCTGCAGTGAACACGTGAGTGCAGGTGTGTTATTTTCTAGGGTATAGTTACCCAGTAATAGGATTTCTGGGTGGAATGGTAGTCTTGTTTTTAGTTCTTTGAGAAATCTCCAAAATGCTCTCCACAGTGGCTGAACTCATGTACACTCCCACCACCAGCGTGTAAGTGTGTCCTTCTCTCCGCAGCCTTGCCTGCATCTATTATTTTTTGACCTTTTAATAATAGCCACTCTGACTCGCACTTCACCGGACTTTAAAAATGAAATGTGAAACTTCAGAAAAACCTCATGCTTGACATTGGCTGCTTGGCCTGCCCTCCTAGGTCCTCTTCATTCTAGGAAGAGACTGACAAGAGGAGTGTGTATCGTTTGAAGCCACCCAAGATATCGAAGCAAGCAAGAGTGACAGCCAGATTTGCAGTGCAGGGGAGAGGCTGGCAGCAGAGAGAGTTCGGGGCCTTCAGCGGCGTCACTGGGGACCCAGAGCACGCAACACACACTCTAGGGCACAGTGACGACAGCAGACAAAATGAAGGCCTCATTCTGGGGACCAGGGAAGGCATTCAGAAAGCCATCCTGCAATGAGTGTCACATTCAGACTTTGAGATCTGCTCTGAGCAGAGAACCATGAGGGAATACGCAGCAGGAAAGTGAGCACCAGCCCAGAACCAGGCAGGCACTGACCAGCGCCCCCAGGAAGCGACACTGGATTTGAACGCTGAAGGGTGAGCAGAAATAACTTAGGTAAAGATAGGGAAGAAGAGCCTCCTAGACACAGGCAACAGCGTATACAAACGTCAGGAAGACAGAGGAGCCTGGGACGTTGGAGGAAGGGATGGGCAAGGGGTTGAGTGCAAGGAGTGGAGCTGGTCTGCAGCTAAGAGAGGTCACTGGCAGGTTGTAAGTGGCGATGCTATGTAATGAGACTTGCAATTCTGAAAAGACCAAAATTGCAAGTCTCATTACATAGCATCCCTACTATGCATCCCAGTTTGGCTGTGGCATGGAGAGTGACATAAGGAAGGTAAGAGCAGCAGTGGGGAAGTGCGTTAGGGAATTAATGTGTTAATCCAGGCAGGAGAGGCTCACAGCTCAGATCAGGGTAGCCGAAGTAAATCAGTAGATACAAAAGGAAGTGGGCAGCTGCTGGCCATGCTTACAGGTAGAACTGACTGATACCGACCAGAGGCAGCCAAATGCCTAGGCAGATAGGTGCAGGTCCCCAGTGAAACACCATGTCCAAGCTGAAGACAGTCCTGGGTAAAACCTCGGACCAGAGTGAGAACTTCTGTTCCTGTTTACCTGCCCTTCCCCTATTCTAAGTCCATAGAAACACTGGACCCAGACATACAAGGAATTTCCCACCTTCAGGTAGGGGGACCACCCCCGCATCCCCTCTCCGCTGAAAGCCCTTTCATAACGAAATAAAACTTTCTGCCTTGCTCATTCTTTGATTGGCTCATTCTTCTTGGATATTGGACAAGATCTTGGGAACTGGTGAACAAGCCAAACTCTGCCCAGGCAGGCTGAGTGGACGGGCCGTCTCCTGCAGCAGTTAGTATGGCCGAGCAAGGCCCAGGTGGGGTGTTGCTGGCTGGAGGTCCCCAGCTTGCAAAGTGACCAAGAAAAAAATCCTGCATCAACAGGGCCAGTGAGGAATGGAAGAAAGGGACTGCGCTGGGTGAGAGGTGTCGAGATTGGCATTCTCATTTAGGACCCAAAGACTAAATGATGATCACATTTGCTAAGAAAACACGGGAGAAAGATTGTGCTTGAAAAAGAGATAAGTTCCTTTTTTTCTGTGCTGAATGCTATCTTAGTCCATTTTCTGTTGTTTGTAACAGAGTACCTGAAACGGGGTGATTTATAAAGGGAAGGAATTTATTTTTTATGAAGGGCTGAGGAGTCCAAGATTAAGGAGCTGCCCCTGGTGAGGGTCTTCTTGCTGGCAGGGAGTCTGTAGAGGCCTGAGGTGGCACAAAGCATCCCCACAGGAACCCATTCATCCACCAACTCATTAATCTGTGAATCCACCAATCCACAAGTGAATTAATCCATTCACGACAGTAGGACCCTCATGACCCAATCACCTCTTAAAGGCCGCATCTCTCAGTTCTGCCATGTTGGGGATTGTGGCTCAGCATGAGCTTTGGAGGGGACAAACATCCAAAGCATAGTGCATGGGAAGCCTCTGCAAGGCATCCAAGGAAGCTACTGGACTGAATCAAAAGCCCGAGGAGGAGGAGGGGGAGAGCACAAGGGCAGGAGACGAACCAGTGGAACCAGGTGTCCAGGCCATCAAAGACCGAGGCAAGAGCACTTCCAGGACGTCGGGAGGAGTGTGGTATGCTGCCGAGCGGGGGAGTGCAAGGGGAACAGTGCCCCTTAGCAAGGGCTGTTGCCAGGGTATGGGTGCAGAGGCCAGTGTCAAAGGGCTGAGGGGGCACGAGGCAAGAGGATTGACAGGAGGTGCACATGATTCAGTTCCTGGAATAGTGGCTGTGACGTGGAGGTGAGAACCAGGGCAGCAGGTGTCTGCAGGGAAAGGGGCTGGGTGGAGATGATTCTGGAGTTTCTGATTGTGAGCTGATGTTAAGATACGAGACACTGAGGCATGCCTAAGCGTGGATGGGAAATGTCTGCTGGAGAGGAGGAAACAGAAGATGCCAATGGCAAAGAGAGTCCCCGGGGTGTGGGGCCAGGGTAGGTGGGAGTGGGAACGCAGAGCCTGAGGCGGGATGAAGTAGAGACCCCCTTTCCACAGGGTGCTCGCTCTCCCTGCTCTCCCGCCACCTGTCCTGCACCCTTCTCTCTGCCTTTTGGAAAGTCCTCCCTGTCTTCCATTCCCCAGAAGAAGTCACTCCTCCTTCGTTCTTCACACTCAACCTAACCCACACTGCTCCCTCTTCCCACTGAATGCTCGGGTCTCCCTCAGTGGTGGTGTGCACCTGTAGTCCTAGCGACTCGGGAGGCTGAGGCAGGAGAATCGCTCATTATTCATGCCAGGTAATTACCAGTGTCTTCTCAAAGTGCCAAAGGCCTTAGTCACCTCACCGGGTGGCCCAGTGGTCCAGGTGGCACTTTCTCTTTCTGTGACCCCTCAGCACCCGGCTCTGTCCTGATGGAAAGATCTACACAGGAGACGGCGAAGGAGGAGATCTCGTGCTCGTGACTTCCCTGTGCCATCAGGACTTCAGTCCTGAATGAACACTCAGAGAGTGACGGATGTCCCGCTGCCAAGATCCATGTTTCTCGTGAGGACAAGGACAGAAGGACTGAGGCTCGGCCACTGGCCATTAAGGAAAGCAGAAGACAAGTGCAGGGTGGTGGGCCCAGGAGCACACGGGGCATGGATCACACCCACCCTGTCCTGTGGGCGGCCTCTCACCAAACATGTCAGACTAAGAAAGGCAGGTGCGCATCTCAGAAGCCATTAGGAGATGCTGAGAGCAGATGGGGCGCAAACACCACAGGGCACTCATGCCCACCCTGAGCAGGTGTTCATCAGCTGCTCAATAAAAAAAAAAAAAAAAAGAAAAAAATGCAGGGAAGAGGATTGGCAGGTGGAAGAGAAATAACCAGCCCCTGGCCACTCAGGGGCGTCCTGGGAGTCCATGCCCAGGCAATATGGACTGCAGGCGGTTCCCACCTTCAGATGACTTGTGAATCACACCTGCCTTTGGAATTCTTGGGGAGAGTTAGCATAGTTAGAACAGTGCCTGAAATAGAGCAAACCTAAGTGTTAAATACGATAATAAAACCATAGTAACAGTAGCTACTATTATCCTTCCAAAGCAAGAGATGCAGACAAATAAACCTGAATCTGACCAATGTATTGGCTTCCCAGAGTTTTGTACGAATAAGTCATTTAAACTCTGATTGTTTTACTCTGGAAAATGAAAACACTCTTACTTGCAGGGCACGGTTGTTGGGGAGATAACAGAAGATACTAAGGTAGAGTTGACAGAGCCCCTAGGACGCCACAGGGGAGTGGGAGCAGCCTCTGCTAGGGAAGAAGGGCCTTCAGCGAACACACACCTTCACTCCACAGTCCTCTGTACACACTGTGATGGCTGGTTGTATGTTCACTTGCCTTGATCACGGCGTCCAGGTATTTAGTCTAACATTGTTCTAGGTGTTTCCGTGATTGTGGTTTTCAGATGAAATAAACATTAGATCAGCAGAGTTTTAGTGAAGCAGGTTGGCCTCTGTAACGCAGGCAGGCCTCATCCAAGCAGCTGAAGACAATGAAGGCCTGAAGAGAATGAAAGACTCAGCTCCCCCAGTAGGAAGGAAGTCCCCAGCAGATGACCTCGGAGTGACGGGCTGCGCTGGCTTCCTCCTGGGTCTGTGGTCTGCCAGCCCGCCCTGCAGATTTTGGATTAACCAGCCTCTTCAATTCCTTAGGCTCAGTCTCTCTCTATGCACACACCGTATTGGTTCTGTTTCTCTAGAGGGCCTTGACTGCTATGGATATAAAGCTCCCTCTGATTGTCAGAAGGATGCAAATGAGGCAACCTAGCCACCCAGGGTCCCAGTGGTCAAGGCGGGAAATGAGGTGGCCTCCAGTCAGCGCCAGAGCTATTTCTCAACAGTACTTTCTTTGGTTTTTTGAGATGGAGTCTGGCTTCCTCGCCAGGGTGGAATGCAGTGGCGCGATCTTGGCTCACTACAACCTCCGTCTCCTGGGTTCAAGCGATTCTCCTGCCTCAGCCTCCCGAGTAGCTGGGACTACAAGTGCGCACCACTACGCCCAGCTAACTTTTGTATTTTTAGTAGAGATGGGGTTTCACCATGCTGGCCAGTCTGGTCTCGATCTCTTGACTTCATGGTCTACCCACCTCGGCTTCCCAGAGTGCTGGGATTACAGGCGTGAGCCGCCACGTGTGGCCAACAGTACTTTTTTTCTGATCACAGCTGAGCTCACATGCTGACCCCAGCAGCCTGTCTCTAAGCACTGTGACTCCAGGAAGGAAAGGCCTGGAGAGACCTCGACCAAGGCCTCAGTGGGCAGGGAGAGAATTTATTCTTTGCAAAATGTATGGAGCCCTTGTTACTTACCAGATACCATGTTAGAGACCAGGAATAAAAACAACAATAATGTATCTCAGTGAATCTAAAACACAGTCCATTGTAAGGCATACCATTGTTCTGTGTCCCAAGACAGGAAAAAAAGATCTTTAGATTTCATAGATATCAAATGGGGAAAAAATATATCTTGGAATAAACAAAATATGCTAATGGTAACTAAGATATTTAGGACATACTATGTGCAGGTGCTGTTCTTAGCATTTCACATGTGTTGTTTCATTTTATCCACACAGTGAATCTCTGAGATGGAATCTATCATCATCCTATTTTATAGACAGGTGCACTGAGACTCAGGCAGCCCAGATGTCCTGCCCATATCCACACACAGCTTCTAAGTGGCAGTCAGGATTTGAACCCAGTCCCTGCAGCCTGGCTCCACGCTCTCAACAGCACTGCAGAAACTAAAGTTAGAGTGGAAGACCACTCATTCCAAACCTGTCCCATTGTCCAGCACGTCACTGAGAAGCCCACGGCCCATTCCAGCCAGTTCAGTGGCTGCCAATCAGCTTGGCTATAGTGACCACTCTCAAGTGTACCATTAGCTTTTTTTCCTAATTTGAGAAATCAAATAAAATATATCCACAGCAGTTGACAACTCTGTCATGACGTCATTTTGTCAGATGGCAAATTTCTGGAGCGGCTCCAATTCAAAAACACTATGTCGTTACCTGGATTTATGGAGAGGACATCAAATTGCTTAATTTTATCACAGCCCACACCCACTAAGCAATTATCACCCACCTACCAGGCACCAGGCAGTTGCTGAGGACCAAGATCCATACTAAACTGAGGGGGCTTCTATTCCCCTGCAGCCTCCATGAACTCAGGGACCCAAAACAAAGAGACCTGAAACTTGAGAGGAAATGGAAGCGGGCTACGAGGCCCTGCCCTGCGGGTAAGTCTCTCGGATGGTTTATTCTTCTCTGGCAATTTTTCCCCTAGGTATTCATGGCATCTGGGGGCATTTCACCTCAGCAAAGTGATGACGCTGCCACTCAGGTTCCCATGGAAACCAAACTGGGACAAGAGGAACAAAAGGCTCCTCAAGGTCAGTGGTGCAAAGGACATTAGAGACAGAGACGGAGACAGCAAATCCGCCCAAAGAACAGCCATAGACCGGGGCTCCCTCCCTCCGATCACCACAGCTCGGGGCTTTGTCACTCCGGAACACCTGGGCCCTGCACCTTGGGCGCGTGAGCTTCTGGGGAGAGAAGCCTGGGCCTCCAGGGAGGTGCAGGCGCTCCTGGCTCCTGGCTGCCTCCTAGCCCAGGGCCGGCCTGTGTCTGCTTCCAGAGCCACGTGCTGTCTCTGCTGGGATGAATGCATGGCCCCTGTGACCTTCCCCTCCTCAGAGCCCACAAGCTTCCGAGTGCGTCATCTTCATTACTGGCGGAGGGAAATGACTTCCTGGAGTAAGGGACTGCTGCTCCGAGCCCCATCTGGACAAAAGCAGGATGCAGGAGGGACGGATCCGCAGACCCGGAGCCCTGCGCCCCAGCCTCCCCTCCGCTGCATTCCCCATGGGCCCTCCGTTCAGTCTCTCCATCGATTTCTCCCTTTCTGAATGCCCAGACAGAAAGGCAGCCTCTTCTTTCCAAAAGCCTTGTTTCTCAGAAAACCTTTCTGCCTTCTTGAAACCCAGGATTTCGAGGAGGAGGACGAGGAGGGGGGCTGGCCATTCCCTTGGGACTATTGATCAGGGCTGTCAGTTCCCAGCTCCTTCCAGTGCCCTGGGCTGGGGACAGTCCCCACGCAGCCTCAAGGACCCAGATGCTATCACTGGGTCCTGGCCAGTCTGAAAACTTGGGATGTCAGCACCATGGTGAGAGCAGAGTCTGCCCGTGGCCACGACAGGCAAAAGACATGTTCACTCTTTCCCGTCTCAATTTTCACTACGGGGTTCTTCCCAGCCCAGTGCGGGTATCTGAGCATCACTGCGGGGCTCTGGTCTCCCCATCCCAGGCCCTGCCTCCTGGCCCTACCACCGGAAGCTTGAGCAGATCTGAAGCTCGCCTTAGGGGAAGATCCCATCAAGGGGAGACCCTGTCTGCAGAAAACAAGAGAACGTGGCTTCTCTTCATTTGTTGTTAGGGCCGGTGCCTAAGGAATAAAAAACAAACAAAACAGGCTATAAACAGAAGCAGTGGTGGCAGCCTGGGCCAGCAGTTATTAGGGTTTTGGTTGTACTTGGATCTGGGAAGGGGAGGCCGATGCACCCAGAGTGAGACACCAGGGCTGGGCTGTAACCCACACCCTAGGAGACGCTTTGCGAGACTCAAACTGAAAGTCAGTTGTGTTGAATTTGGGAAAAGCGAGTGGGATGATGGAGTTAGGAGCACCGTCATTAACTGGTCATTAATTAGATATTAACTAGCCATTAATTAGTCATTAACTAGATTTTCGAGAAAGCAACAAGCCCTCTGTGTCCGAAGTTGTAAAGGGTGGGCTGCCCTGATTGTCTGTGGCTGCTTCAGCTGTATTTGTGATTCACATTCATTCATTTATCACATGTCTGATCCCTACCTCAGGGACCCGGCCTCCTGTTAATAAGCTGTCAGATTCAGGGAGAGGAGTCTCAGAGAACTCCTCACGTGTGTGGGCCGACGGATCAGAGCAGAGCAGAGTCTCCTTCTCTGCCCCACTCTCTCTCTCTCACTTGCCTGCTCACAGGTTCCCAGCTGGCTCCCCAGCTCCCTCTCTGCCCTCCTGGGTGCCACGGGCCCTCAGCCAGGGAAGCTGGTGCCCTCACTTGTCTCCCATGGTCCTCTGGGCTCCTGTGTCCCCTCTCTGCTTTGGGGACTGTCCAGTCTTCCCCATCCCTATTCTTTCTCCCCCAAGTCCCTGGTGGCCCAGGCTCTGGGGAGGAGCTGCATTTCGAGCCACTGCCCACGTCGCTTCCCCAGGGCAGCGGGAGCTCACCAGTATAGCAGGCCCAGTCCTTGACAGCCTGAGGCTCATGTCCATGACCTCCAGGGGCTGCCCACAGCAGCGCTACCTACATCACCCACAGAATGGAGGGAGACAGCGGCTCTCCACACAAAGGCACTGAGAAAAAAGAATACCCCAAAAGCCACCCAGGTCTCAGAGCAGCAGGAAGTCACAAGTGCTCATCACAGGCCAGAAGCCCAGCAAGTAGCATCAGACACCTCAGGTTAGAAAGAACACAGAGGGCGGGGCACTGTGGCTCACGCCTGTGATCCCAGCACTTTGAGAGGCAGAGGTGGGTGGATCACAAGGTCAGGATATCAAGACCAGCCTGACCAACATAGTGAAACCCTGTCTCTACTAAAAATACAAAAATTAGCTGGGCATGGTGGCATGTGTTTGTAATCCCAGCTACTCGGGAGGCTGAGGCAGAAGGGCAGAAGAATCGCTTGGACCAGGGAGTCAGAGGTTGCAGTAAGCTGAGATTGTGCCACTGCACTCCAGCCTGGTGACAGAGCGAGACTCCATCTCAAAAGAACATAGAGATTGTCACCTCCCACCCTCCCCATTCTAGTCAATTCAGGCCAGTTTGGTGCACACGAGGCATGCGCAGTGAGCATGCTAAATACTGTGTGTTCCATTTCTCAAAATACCTCCTGCAACCTTATGAAGTTCTCTCCCAATTTAACAAGCAGTAACCAAACTCAGAAGTCATTTACCCAATGCCACATGTCCGGAAAATGTAAAAGAATGGGGCTTCAATACCAGGATTGAGCCCAAAGGTCACGTTCTTTCCCTGTAGCCCCCTTCCCCTCCTGCTTCTGGGGAAGACACTCTGCATGCAGGCCTCAGGAGACCACAAGCCCTGGACTCCCAGAGCTCAGCAGCAATGCAAAGCCACCCTCAGAAGTGCAGCTGCGGCCCATTGCTCACTCCCTGCAGGGGCGAGGGCAGCTGCCCACCAGCCCAGATGGACACAGAAGGTCACCATGTGGCCCGCCGGGTCTGCAGGATAGCAGGCCGGAGGTGAAGAGTCTGAGCTGGTACCTCCACCTCCCTCTTCCAGACACTGAAAACAGGATTCTCCAGGGTTCACGCCCCAGCGTCTGGTTCAATGTGGGGTATTTTGTTGGGCAACAAGCCAGCAGCCACACAGGGGCCTCACCTGCAGATAGATGATGCACCTCCTTAGTGTCCACACAGAACAAAAGGGATCCCCTTCCAGCTTGAAACTGTCAGGTTCTCTAAGAGGTCCTGCTACAACCCCTCTGAATGCAGGAGGGACTGTGGCTCTTCTGGAAACACGACGCCTCTGTGCAATGAAATGACAGCTGCTTCTTTTCAAGAATTGGGCTGTTCCCGTGTAAAGCTGGCTGCAATGGGTGATGTTTCTGACTCATACTTTGGCTTTAAAATCAAAGTTTTTGTTAGAAACCAGCTTTGTTTTCCTTCTATTTCCTGTTTGAAAAGTGAAGCATTAACACGAAGGAGCGTCCCCGCTGAGATCATGCCGGTCTCAGGCTGCAGGTGGCCAGTGGTGCCGGGGTATCCAGGGAGCCATTCCAGGGGACGCTCTAGCGACCATGCAGATTCATCATGCATCCAGTCCCCCTTGCGCCAGACCTGCCCGCAGTACCCTCAACACGAGGCCCTGGGCAGCTACCCTCAAACACCCAGAGGCCAAGCGTGAGAGGGAACCCACTCGCCCTCCCCAGTCTATTAACACAAAGAACCCCGGAGCCTCCTCCACAGGAACCCACTCCTTAGAGGGCGCAAGGGGCTAAGTTTTGTTTGAGACAGTGACCTGGTATTGGAAGGGAGAGATGACAGCTACCGTCTGTCCCTGCTTCCAGGGCAGGGCAGAGCAAGCTGCTTTTGGCCCTGTCTCTGAGGCAGACACGAGCAGCCTTTGATGGTGCTATGGTTTGAATGTGTCCCCCTGCAAAATCCAGGTGTTGCCAATGTAAGAGCCTTAAGAGGTGGGGCCTTTAAGTGGGGATTAGGCCGTGAGGGCTCCTGTCTCATGAATGGAATTAGGGGTCCTCACGAAGGTGCTGCATTGAGGGAGTACATTGACTTGTCCTTCCACCTCCAGCCATGTGAGGACGCATGCAGCCTTTGTCCCTTCTGGAGGACGCAGCAGCAAGGCACCATCATGGAAGCAGAGAATGGAGCCGTCACCAGGCACCAAACCTGCTGGCACTGGCTCCGAGCTGTGTGAAGATACATTTCTGTCCTTTATGAATCGCCCAGTCTCTCTCTGGAGTTGTGTGAGAGCAGACACAATGGACTGGGGCAGATGGAATGTCAGTTTGCATCAGCCCCCACCCGCACCCTCAGGGCACGCCACGGCGGCCACGCTGGGTGCCTTTCCACAGGTACCCAGGCGTCAGGAGCACTGGCCCAGTCTCGAGGGGCGTTCATGTCAGGGAGGTGCCCTGGCTAGTGTCAGCTTCAGCGCCACCAGCATCAGGAGGTTCAGCTCAACGAGCCCAGAGTGGGGAGAGGAGACAGTGAGGTCTGTCAAGCAAGAGAGGAGGTGGTGAGGTCAACTCCCACCCATCCAGAGACTCCCAGACTTTGGGGTTGAAATCTGAAGGACCTGAGACTCCTGAACTGAGAGGAGACAGAGCTAGGAGAAGGGAGGAAGCTAGGAGGGCAGGGGCACAGGGGGCGGGATGTGGAGGGCCAGGCTGGCATGAGCAACAGCTTCTTCTCCCCTGGTCCTTTTGGCCCAAGACGGTCACATTCTCCGAGGAACTGGAACTTGCTCCCAGGAAGAGGAAGAGCTCAGCATCTGCTGCTCCCTCCCCCAGACAGCTCCTGGGGAAAGTCCACCACTGTCTTCTCACCCTGCTCTGTGCCTTCATACAAGCAATCCTCTCTGCCTGCAATGCTTTTCCTCTGCCTCCTCTGGCCAGTGTCCACGGGTTCTCCCAGATGGGTAGAAGTATTTTAAGGAAGACCTCCCTAATCTCCTCCCAGCTGGGTGGATCCCTCCCTCTGGGTCCCCACATATCTCAGTTCCAGAAGACCATTCACACTATAGTCTAAATTAGTGGATTCCTGGTGTGTGGTATGTGCAGTTATAATGGGTTGCCTCAGCCCCCAACACACCCTTCATTGCCTTCCTCTGATAATGCCCCTGGGCCCTGTACCCACTTCTCCCTTGCCAGCTGGCATGACGTTTAGCCCTGCGCAGCAGCAGGGGCCTCTTCCTGGTTCTGGCGCTTCTCTTTCTGCTTGCCCTCGGCTGCTGGGCAGACACGAGGGGTACTGAGCACTGCTCTCCCTTCAGCAAATGTTGTTGCCAGTTCCAGCCTGGGTTCCTGGCCTGCTGCTGGCCGAGGAGGGTTTGCCAGTGCCACCCCATGCTTCCCTGTACACAGCCTCGGTCTACTGAGACCCAGTGGAAAACCCATAGCCTCCACCTCCACGCACATTCCCCTGCCTGCCAGCCACAGTCACCGGCTGTGGATCTGCGTGGCTGTGCTCCAGAAGCAGAGCTGGGAGGAGGGGGGCCCATGCACGGATGAGAGTATGAAGGGACCTTCTAGAGGTTGTGGCAAACACAGGTGCCACGCCCCCTGAACTGCCCGCAGTCACTGCCTTTCCCACATGGAGGGTGCTGCCGTCTATCTTCCGGGGGGCTGTGGCCACTCTGCATCCCCAGACCTGGCCCACAGTAAGCTCTCAGTAAGTGTGGGGGGTCACTGCTGAAGGAACTAACACATAATCCTCCCACGACCAACCATAGGTAGCTGGGGCAGAAACAGGGAACTGCTGAAAGGAGGTTGGTGAATCCTGCCATGACATGCCCGCTGTGCCCAGGACCCAGGCTCCCACAACTCGAGTCCTTCCCCCATCCCAGATCCATTCAAAGTGAAGTGCCCTCCAAGCAGGCTTCCTTGGGGACCTTGATCAGTGTCCGTGTGTCCACCATGCCCCCGTTCACCAAGGGATGTGAGAAAGGGCCTGGCCTGTGGACCAGGGCCGACCTATGTCTAAGCCCCAGCTCAGTGGTCTGCTAGTTGTGTGATGTCGTGTGGTGGCTCCCCAAGTGTGGCTCTGGATGCGCCGCATCAGCGTTACCCAGGAACCTGTTAGAGATGCATGTTCTTGGCCCCAACCAGCATCGACCAAGTCAGAAACTCTGCAGGCACAAGGCACCAGGCACAAAGCAGAGTGAATGGCAGTGGCCCGGGCATAAGCAGGGCTTGCCCCTTCCCTCCGCCTCTCCCCTCACCGCCTCCCGGGGGTCAGAGGCCCGTGGAAATGGCGTCCTCCTGCACATCTGTCCTGTCGTGCAGGTCTCAGCAGAGGCTTTCCGAGTGAGCTGAGAGGCAAGCCTGAGCACAGCCCCTCGGGAAGCGAGCGCACAGGCTGGGAGCTGTCCTTGGAGATGCCCCTGGGCTCCTTGCAGGGCACGGCTGAGTTCCTGCCTGTCCTCCGCAGGCCCGCTGTGGTGGGGTGGCTCAGGCAGGTACCCTGTTCACAACCAGTGCTGCTGGGAGTGAAGGCAATGGATGGGTGAGCGGGGCCAGCGTGGGCCGTGAGCCGGGAGCTGGACCGGCTCGCTCTGTGTGCACACCGTTTCCATGTGTGCAGCAGACACTGGCGTCTGTCCACAAAGCTGATTGAGTCTTTCTCCCCTTTTCTTCCTCAGCTTAAAATAGGCCTCTTTTTAGGGAGAAGGCGGCATGACATCAAGCTCAAGTGCTGAGGGCGCAGGAAGACCCACCAGGCAGGGACCCCGGAAGCCCCAGCGGTCTCCAGCCAGCCTCTCGAGCTTGACCTGGCGATGTTTACCTTGCAGATTGTTTTTCCAACTTCCCACACTCCGCTTCTTCCTACACCCTGTCCTTCCTCAGGGGCTGGCGTGCTCATCAGTTGGCTTCATCTCTCCCTAATTGCAAGGCCTGACCCAGAAATGTAGCTCCGATCCCGGAGCAAACGAGGCTGGAAAGATGACGCCTCTAAGACCAACAAAGACGGCGCGAGGTGAGGTGAACATCTGCTGCGTCTGGGTGCGGGGCCCCCTTGCTGAGTTGACCCTAAGTCTGCA